AAACCTTCGTAGTTTTTTTTATTTTTTTTATTTGATAACAGTTTATACCTGTCTGAGTCATTTATAAGTCTTGACATTTTTTTATAATCGCCCAATTGAACTTTTTTCCTTTCACTGTTAATCTTTGCAATGTTACATATTGAGGTTAAAAAATTATAAAATCATTTTAATCCAATATGAGCCTAAGTAACAGAAACACATGGCTTACAACTACAAATGAATACAATCACGTGATTAGTAATTGCATACACTGGCGTAGGAACAGGGGGGCGGAGACGACGATAGCCCCGCTGGAGGAGGGGGGGGTGGACATTGCATTTAGCCCTCCCCCCTCCCCTCATTTCCTAAACAGTTAAAAAAAACTTTTATGATAGCAACAGCGAAATTATTATTTTTTAGTCTACAATGACTCAATCACAATTAAACATCACCATGGAAAAGTATATACATAAAACTATTTGAGAAAAAATTTAATTATGTTTAAGTAATTTGATTTTTTTTAATTATAATTGATTTAAAAAGATTAAATTGGTTTCAAAATATATGACTTAAGTTAAAATCTAAATTAAATTTTTTTTTTAATGTGCGAATAAACTATAATAAGATATAGCCTATTCGCACTTGCGAACGAATAGAACCACCCTTTTTGTAATTAAAAGTATTGTCACGAGAGTTTTAAATTTCGACGTATTTATAAGATTTTGCGTAAAAAAAATGATAATAATAATAATAATAATAATAATAATAATAATAATAATAATAATAATAATAATAATAATAATAATAATAATAATAATAATAATAATAATAATAATAATAATAATAATAATAATAATAATAAGAATAATAACAATAATGTTATAGCAAATACTTAAGCATTTGCAAGCACACGGTTAGCACGGATCGTTATAATGCCTATCTAGCAGTCCCAAGAACGCCACTTATACGAAAAGTTAGCGTACACATCAAGGTATCCTGTGATGCAAATTTTGAAATCATTTAATTTTGTCCGCGGAAAATAATTTAATTTGAATGTTCAAATTAAGTCAAATTTTGACTTCATAGTGCGCCAAAAAAAAACATTTGTAAAATTTGAACCACTCAATATAATTTGATAAAATGTGGTGCAAATGTAGCCAATAGTCATACCAAACTCTGGACAGAATGTCAGCCTGATTGGATGACTGGTGTAGGATTTATTGCAGTTTTAGTTGAAGTTTTGTTAGGTTTTTGCTACTTATACCTCAAAGCGATTACTTTGAAATTCGGTCACTATTTTTAAAATAACGCTTACATGAGTGTTCTACTATGTAAAACCAAAAATTTTTGTTAGAATTATTTTATCAGTACATGTACAGTTTTCATTTTATAGACCAAAATAGTGTTTTGCTACTTAAAGCGTGATTTAAATAGTCTTATGCTAATAGAGTCGACACGGCCTTCAAAGTGGAGGGGATCAACCCCTCAATTTCTAAATAAAATCCATAATTTCTCAAATAATTGCCTATATTTCTAAAACAAAAGGTCCTCGCAAAAAAAAAAGTGGGCAGGCCATGGCTTCCTTTACGGCCATGTATGCATAACGTAAATATACCAACATTTCCTAAGGTATAAACTACTGTCAGAATGCAAAATTTATTTTAATAGTTTTTAATCAATAATATGTGTTACTGTGTTCGTTGTGTCTCATCATGAAACTTAAAAACCACCGATGAAAAAACAGATTCTTGTACAGTTTATGTTGCTGCTCACTGCAATGATTTATCAAGTCTTGTGAATCATGTTATTCAGTCCACAAAATTTCTGGTGGCAATTTTGTTAAGCTCGGAATTGATGGTGGCAAAGGTTTTCTCAAGTTTTGCCTAAACATTGTTGATACTGCGTTAAGGGATGAAACCAGCTCACCGCACCAACAACAACCTCTCACTCAAAAGATTGGTAACGACACTGGAGTCAAGAGACAAATTATTGTTGGGGCTTCAGAAGATTTGCCAGAAACACACTCCAATATTGAACAAATCTGGTCACTGATTAATGCAAATGGAGTTAAACTAATTTTGGTTTGTGATATGAAAGTTGCAAATATAATTTGTGGTCTTCAAACTCATTCAAGTACGCACCTGGTGTGACGTCAAATCCCTTGCACCTGGTGTGACGTCAAATCCAATTGTCTTGCCTAAACTGGAAACTTGCGAACACTGAGCTCAATTAATTTAAACCTCGAGTCTTTTCAACAATCTGGCGGGGTTGTTGTTTATGCA